TCCTGGAGAGACCTTGATATTAGTGATATGCCTACCTACTGACAAAACTCACAAGGATCACCACAGAAAACAAAATAAACATTATTTTGAAATATAAAATGTCAAAATAAAGGATCAAAGTGCAATCTCAGAGCTCCAGCCCACTCAGAAAATGTCCAGGAGACATCCACATAAAAGAAACTAGAAGTCACACACATTAAAATTTCTGAAATGATAGCAACTGAAGTAAACAAACAATTCCATCAGGCTATAGAAAAAAATCAATGACCAGTCAAATAGCTCAGTGGATTGAAGCACCTGCAAGCAGGTTCAGGGGCCGGGGGTTTGATCCCCAGGCCTTCCATGCTGGCCCCACCCCCCGGGCATACTGAGATGGCAAATGAGACTAGGCATGGTAGTGCACACCTGTAATCCCAGGTCTTGGTAGGCTGTAAATAGACAGATCACTATAAGTCTACTCTAGTAGTGAGACCCTGAATACCCTGTAGACCCTTCCCTAAAAATACAAAAAACAAAAAAATCAGATCAGAAATGATCTCTAAAGTTAAAAAAAATGACAACCACAATGAAAGCATTGTTCAGAATATCTAAAAAGACATAGATAAAAAAACATAGAGGAGCACAGAAAAATGATGGAAATCTTGAATGAACAATACGGGAAGGAATTTAAATGCATGAAACAGATTTAAAGACACATCCAGGAAATTAAAAATTCCATTGAAAGCTGGCTACATCACTTGAAAGAAACTGAAAAGACTTTTAGACCTTGAAGACAGCTTCGCAGCTAGCAATCACAGAAGGAAACATCTCTTATAAATAGCAAGGAACCAGGAAATAACAGTTCAACTGGTGGAAAATGATGCAAAGAAAAACAATATAAGGGCCGGGGAGATGGCTTAGTGGAATAAGCACTTCACTGGTAAGTGCAAGGGCCTGAGTTCAATTCCTGGTTCCACAAAAAATAAATAAATAAAATTAAAAAATAGTATTGACAAATAAAGATTAAATATGCTAAAGTTATACCAAATGCTGCTTCGGTAGACATACACATTGGGAAATGATTATTGCAATCAAGCTACTTAACACATCTGTCACCACACAGTTACTATTCGTGTATGTGTGAGAAGGATGACATTGGGAACTGTTCTCTTGGCAAATTTCAAATACACAGTAGTTATTACTAATTATAATCAATGTGCTGTCCACTAAATCTTTGAACTTATTCACCATATAACTGCAATTTGTACCTCCACATTTCTGCTGATCCTGGGAGGCACCATCCTATTTCCAGCTCCTGTGGTTCCTGTGTCAGTCAGCTTCTCCTGGCTGGGACACGATGCTCAACATACACAACTTAGGGCAGGCAAGGTTTAATGCATTCAGGTTCAGTCTCTGATTGGTGGCTCTAAGGCAGAAGGAACATGGTAAAGCTCCTGAGTTCGTGGACTGAGAAACAGAGCCTGAGAAGAGCGCGCGAGCAGGAGGGTGGAGAGACAGACACAGGCTCGGGAGATTGAAAGCAGAGGGCAGGGAGTGTTCGAACTGATCGCGAGTCTAGGTTAGGAAGGGAATTGCTGTGGTAGCACAACTGGAGAATGAGAACCATCAATTTTGTAGAAAATAAGTTCTGTTTGAAACAGATTGTACAATAGTACTTTAAAAGAAAATCTACAGGAAATCGTTGGAAGACCAGAGAGCTCCAGCCTTGAAAGATAGTTTGTAGCTGGAACAATTGATGACATTTTATGATTCTCAAAAAAGACTTCTTTGTTGTTTTTATCCCTTTGTTTTGTCAACATATGCGTCATTTCACATCCATAAGGTTATGTGAACTAAACGCCAATCATATGGGTAACATAAAATGAAAAGTGCTTTAAATTTAGATGTGATCTTACCTACACAGTCAAACAAAAGCTTGTCTAATAGTTTATTTTGAAGATCAAAATATATGGCATAGTTAGTAAAGTGAAAATGTTCAATTATTTTGTTTTCTCTAGGTGGGTTGTAAAATCCTTAAGGGTTGGACAAGGTGCTTGGGAACTCATTTACATTCCCCAGTGAGATGCTCAGTAAATGCTTAATTGTTGAACTGGGTTTTAAAATGATCCATAGGAGCTCCTGACAACATACCACGTCCTCTACCCTAGCGTTAGGCTTGTTTTCAGTGAGTGCCTTTCATTCAATTCCCAGCTGTGTTATAGTCCTTTGAGAGGCTAATTAGGATATTGGGGTAATATGAATTAAATTATGACCTTTAAAAATTGTCTGAAATTAAAACTTAGAGTATGCCCCAAATCCCAAACTCAATTTTCCCACTGGAGACCTCTTAGTATTAAATATACCCTACATTTGAATTCTTGCCATGTTCACCATGGGGAATTTGTATCCGTACATGATGTATCCTGATGCCCCTTCCCACCCTCTGGCCCTCCCGCTTCACAGAGCCCAGGTTTCATTTTATCCTTCCTTTCTCATTGTTTTCTTTCCCTTCCCTTTTCCTTTCTCCCTTTTCTGTTTTCCTTTCCCTTTAGAACAGTATAAACTAAACGCGTGGACCTTGAGACCATAATCGTGGAGTGCGATAGATCGGACATGTGTAAATGTCGCCTTCTTTCTCTGGTGTGACACACTGAAAAGGTAGATGAGAATACAAAGGTACAGTGGATTTGGTGAAATAGGAGGAAGCTTTGGACACTTCTGTCGAACTATAAATGTTAAAGGCTTTGGTTGCAAATGCTTTAATTTTGGGTTTGGTCCGACACCTAGCCAAAAAGTAAAAAAAGCTCTCTGAGTTAGCAGGTGTGGATAATTACAACACTTTCTTGGTCATTGTCTAAACAAGATGATGTCATGTTGCCAGACAGCGAGCTCTCTGGTGCATTGTACTCCAGGTCGTACACATATGTGGGTAATGTTAGGTTAGGCACACTTTTATAGTTGCGAGCTATTCATGTAATTTAGTGTAAGGGATACTGACTAGAAACATTATACAAGAAATTAATCCTAATTAAATATCGGTTGCCTTTCAATAAATCTACCTTCTTTTTCTTTTGGATTGTTGCATATATTATTATAAACATCACATTATTTAGAATAAGTATATATTATTTCTTTTACATTCTGCATATGGCAGCTGTGTCAGTTAATTTAGTGATTAATTACAATGTCAATAAACTTTTTTTTTTTTTGTGAAGGTAATACTTTAAAAAGCAGACTAAGATGCACTTTCTACCGGAGACTTTACTCAGGTTTTTGGATTGTATCACATGAGCAGAGAACAGGTGGATACACATGTGCCTTTGTTTGGCAGTTACATGCAGAGCATCTGCCCCACCCCAGGGCCTGCGCGGTGTCAGCAATACAGCGGGAGCCAGCACATGAGCAGGCTCCCAGAGAACTTGGAAGAAAGCATTAACGATAAACCCTCAGTAATTCTAATCCAAGTCTTCCTAAAAAATTAATAAAAACTAAATTATTTCTAGAAGCAGAAGTCACAGAAGAAATTCTGTTGCAGAACTGAATTTGAGAACTGATTTATTTTTCAAAATTTTATTGATAAACAGCAATGAGACAGTTTCAAATCAAATCGGTAGTACAGTTTCAATAACTAACACACTGCATATATTCTTCCTAGTGGTTAATTGCTGTACAGGATGCGGACTTGAGATCCTATTTACAAACACCATTAGAACAAATCATTCTATTCATTAAGAGAATATAACTATATATCTATCCTAACCACTTTGAATACACAGGTACAAAATGGACATTCATCGGTATACCCCATTTTTTCTAAGTTCCGTTATTGAATATTATAGGTGTGTGAACTCAGCAAAATATTCTAAAAGAGTCCAGTAGCCCATAATAGCATTGGGTCTTCTGTTTAACTGGCAATGTCAGAAATTATTGACCTGAGTCCCCCACAGCTCAACATAACAGCATGGCTTTACTTCCTATATTTCGTCTTCATACTTTTCTACTGGATGGTTAACACCAAGGTAAAGCAGGACCTATGCAACAAGAGTTGTAGCTTTTTGGTCTGAGAAGGTCAGTGAAATGCCCTCAGGATTTATCCTAAGATCCTGTACCTCAGATTGTAGATCCTTTGTCAGTGTCAGCCATGTGGATGAGTCACGGCCATTGAAGTTATTTATTTTTTATTTTTATTTTTTTTAAATTTTATTTATTTATTTATGTGTGTGTGTGTGTGTGTGTGTGTGTGTGTGGCCAGCTCAGCCCACCAGGGGGCGGGGCTGGCTGGCATGTGGTGCTGGGGGATTGAACCGCGGTCCCTGTGCTTTGCTAAGCTTGTTCTGAGTAGGTGTTTTAGATCACTGAGCCATCTCACCAGCCTTGAACTTATTTATTTTTTAAAAGAGCTTATTTCCTAATAGATTTCAAAAATAGACCCCTAGGCTTTCAAATTTGGGATCGCTAGTGGTCGCACGGTTTGCCTGCCCGACGTCCCTGCCGTGCTTGGCCCCTCGGGAAAGGGGTGTGTCGTACGGATCTGAGAAATGAATGAAGCTGGTGGCTGCACCAGCTACCAGTGCTTCATGGTGTTTCAGTAAATGGAAAGCAACCCTCTGCATCCTTTAATTATGAGACTTATCTTCGATCTGTTGTTCACTTTTTCCAGGTTTTGGGGGCAAAGCCAGACCTTCCGGATGGAGACAGTGATGACGACGCCCTCGCCGACGTGAGCAACAGGAAGATGGCCAAGCTGTACATGGTGAGCTGCGGGGCCGTCGCCCTCTGTGCCCCAGGTGTGGCGGGGCGCCCGCAGGGCAGCAGTTCTCTGGGCTGTCACTGGTAACTCCTCGCTGCCTCCACGGAGAAGCCTGTGGGAAGATCAGTTCTTCTCTCCTGCATGCATGTTAAAAGTCACCCTTTTTATTACCTTGTGTTATTTTTATTGAAAATAACAAAGGGGCTCACCATGACTTACATAAAGAATTATGTTCCTGTTAGCTTGCAGCTGATATGTTTTGATATATTGCAATCCATAAATTGTGCCCTTCATGGAATAGAATATTCTTCTAAATTCTAGATTAGATTACAACATCTTCGCCTTATTTAAAATATCTTCTGTAGCCATAATAAAGGCTTTCTTTGTTATAGGAGGGTGAAAAGCTCTCGAATCAGTCAGCTGGAAGGAAACAGGATAAAACCAGCCCTGAGCTGGGCACTGGCAGACCTAGTGCTGTGTCACCTCTGGTGAATGATGGGCTCTGTCACCCGGGGCAGGATGGAACCATCCTAGGCCTTAATTTGCTTATCTGAAGAGAGGGGAGTTTGTAGGTGGGTGGAGAGACGGAGACAGTGCTAGACAATTGCTTGGGTTCCTTCCAACCATATAATTCTATGATTTTTATTGCTGGCAAGGGTGGCGAAAGCCACAAGACGTACCAGTAAAAGAGACAGCTAAGGTGGGATTCTTCAAGTGGTCTTTCCCTTTACAGCTCGCCAAGCAAGCCATGCGGAGTAGGTAGCAATCTCCCTGCAGGATCCAGTAGTTTTCTCGTCTGTAACAGGAAGGAGCTATATTTGCTACTCTTTCAAGGACTTTCTAGCTCAGAAACATCGTTTGAGATGAATATCAAGTTACTAACTTGAGTAACAGAAATTCCTTTTTATATTGGAGAAATGGATTCTTCCAAAATGGCAAAAGAAAATATGGTTACCATTATTGATACAGAAGTTCTTGTTTCAGTACTTTGTGGTTCCATTACTTATTGTCAGCAGCCTAACAAATATCACTTAATTCACATCATCATTCAAACACTAACTCCGTTCTAACCCCTCCTCCCCCCGCTAAAAATCCCCTATTTTTCAATGGGAAACGTTACTCTTCATTCATGGCGCCCTCTAGCGGAACCCTAATATGTTGCACATATCGAAAGTCTGAAAATAATTTAGGGTTCCTGAAAAAGACTGAGAAGCAGAATCCCTTGGGGGAACTTTCTGAAAGTACATAATGCAAACTGCTGGAAAACTGCCCCGCTGAGCTAGCCAGGGCCCAGGGTGGTGGTGCAGGTGGGGCCAGCACGTGGTGCCTGGGTGCCACCTACAACCTTTTCTTTCTTTCTTTTTTTTTTTTTTAAGTTTTTTTTTTTT